AATAAACAGAAAAGGTCCTCTGTGTTCATAAATATAGTAAGTGGATTTGGGAGAAGGGAGTAAAAATAGAATAAACTTATTTCAGAAAATTTGTGACAATGTTTTCTAAAGAGATATMTGAGCACACAGCCCTTAGGGGATGAAAGTAAGTTGTGTTGAGACTGAGATATCAAGATGAGTGGAACATGATAAACAAGTGATGATAAACATGATAAATCTAAATAATGCAAGTTAAGGAGATTAAATATTGTTCAAATTGTGACTTTACTAATGAGGGAGTAACATTCACTAGTTGTTCCATTTTGCCATGGATCATCAAACCACTGGCATATCTGCAAAACCTTTCACCTTGTACCAGGATCCTCCTCTTAGTTACGTGGAGCTGTTTCTGACCACTGCTCTCTGTTAAAACTAAATTATGTCTGGTAGAATAACATTGTTCTGTGACGATGAACATCCCATTCACACCAAGTTTGTACGCTTTTGGAGGTCCTATGTCCTTCTGAACATTTATGTATTCTTAAAAATCAAAACTACTTYTATTCTAAGAATAGCCCTCTTTTTTGCAGTGTTCTACAGCAAATGTTATAATTTGCTGGCTCAGGGCTGCTTTTGACTTTTCCCATCTCCTTTTAGCAACTTCTTTTGCTTTCTCAGTGTCAGGCATGTCCTTTTTCTGGGTGGTGAACAGCTTAGTCATTTCTCTCTCATACACMTCCCTCTCTCCTTATCCTACTTGAGTTCAGCAGAGTTTTTTTAGCCTATTGCTTTTAGGATTTTCAAAAAACAGAATAATATTTTTTTATTATTGTATCTTCCATTCACAGTGGATCAAGATTTATAGCTACTTCTTAGCTGCACTCTTTATTCTACTTTAAAAATAAGCCTGGCCTTCTTTTTATGGATTTTCTCTCTCAAAGACAGTCTGACCGTAGGCTCTTTTTCTCTGGGTGACATACAAGTTTGTRCCCTCTACTTCTCATTTGTTTGCTTTTTGAGGTATAGCAGCTTGTGAGCATAACAAATGTACTGACTCAGAACTTCCAAGAAGTCCATTCACTTCAGCACTACCTCAGCAGAGTTTTCTCATTTGGGCATGTTAAAAAGCTCATCATCTTCACACACAATTMCAAAACACTGCATCTGAGTGTTCTGTTCTCCCTCCTCCTTGACATTCAATCCACTAACTTTAACATTTGTTGCTCTACCATGTGTTGCTGGTCAGTAACTCTGGCAGGAGGTGTTCATCTTGTTTACTGTCYGCTTTCCCTTTTTGTGCTGTACTGCTGGCTGTTGTGCTGGTTGCTCAAAATTGCAAAGGAAGCAATTGCCTTTTTCCTAAAGGGACACTGTGAATGTTCCACCCTCCTGTTACACATCTGTATTTATTCTGAAGAGAGGAAATCTAACACAGAGTAGTACAAGAAGAACCAATTGGAACTTGGGGTTTATAAAAAAAAAAAAAATAAAAACATGATCACGAGGAGGCTTGAAGAAACGTGATCATCACTCCCCACAGCTCCTTATGATTACTGCCAAGACCATGAAAGCGCTCCAAATAATGTTGTGGGGAATGCTGTGATACCCACATGCAATGCAGGTCATCTTCTGCTCTTCTGCTCACGCAACYTGGCATTTGGAAGACTTATTGCATCAGCAAAGACAGCCAAGTGTGAATAATCTCTACAAAAATAGCTGTAAAACTATGTTAGCACCTCCATGCTGGTTGCACCAGCATATTCTGCTGTTGATCCAGGCTCAAATACTCAAAACAAAAAAATTAGGGGCCCTCCACTCACTGTTTTCATGAGGGTTGCAGACCTACCTGCTATGTTTGGCATGGCGTGCTCTTGCCAGCAGAACATCTCTGCTTGGATGGTTTCTTTGCTGACGTCCTTCTGCATGTCCTCGCGCAATGCCTTCCTTGGGAGAGCCTCAATTTCCTCTGCTCTATAAAAAACACAAATACAGTTAAGGATCCCGCAACATTTTACCCATCCTCAATTTCTCCAGCTTTTCCTGAACCTTCAGGCCTTCACAGCCATCATCTCTTCCCCCTTGAAATGCTCTACAAATTCAACTGGCCCAATTTCCCCCGACCTCGTGCCCAGCTCAGCCTGCCCCTCTCCACTGCCCGCAGATAAAATCCCTTTTTATTTGGGTGGCTCCATTCCTCTGGAATCCTACCCTCCCTTCTGATCTCCTTCAAGCTGCTGCTGTCCTTAAATCTCCTTAAAACCTTCCTTTATGGGAGCGTTTACAGCTCTCTGTGAAATTATGTCAGCCTTCGTATTGCAGGTGTGATATAAAAATGTGCTGTATAATAACAAGAAGCAGTGCATTGCCTCAGGGCTCCCTCATAAAGAGAAAAAATAATAATAAAAAARAAARRRARAAAAAAAAAAAGCCAGATGACCTGCTGTAGATAACGACAGGAAATTCAAAACCTGCAAGTGACTTTTTTTCTTTAAATAGAGGAAATAAAGCAGCAAGGAGAGGGGGCTGCAGCTCCCGAGCCGCGGCTATGGGGGATAAACCCGCTGCAAGGGACTGGGGGAGGCGAGAGCGGAGGCTGCTCCAATGGCCGCCGTTAACGGCTGCCCCAACGGTCCCAACGGCCGCCGCGAGACGAAGGAGGGTGCGCGTAGTGTAACGGGCCCGCCCGCTCGCTCGCTGCCCCGCGTCTAGTAAAGGGGACATAGGCAGGGGCAGGCGGGCCGGGCCGCTGTCCCTTTAAATGCGATTCTTTGGTTCCCGTCGCCGCCGTCTCCTCGTAATAGCGAGTCGCGGGATCCGGCGCTACCTTCCTCCTCCCTTCCCCGCGCTCCGCCAATCAGCGCCCGCCCGCGTCACTCAGAGGGCAACGAAGCA